CCGTCCTTTGCCCCCCCTGAATAAATAAAAGAAGAGAAACAAGGGCCAGTAAACCTAGTGTTCACCCCCTTGGGAATAGATACTCACTAGACTAGACACCCTAAAATTACAAGGTGCCTCTCGCGTCAGGTAAGTATGCTTTTGTGGCAGCGCCGTTGACTTATAATTGTGGCGACGAAGCGTTTCGATCGCGGTCGTTCACCGCCGCCGCGTTACAGTAGTGAATAATATTCATACGTACGTACGGCGTTTGTTATATCAATGTGGCTGTTCGTAACTGGTTTCCCGATCGATCGAGGAGTCCGGCGACTGCGGTGGTTCGTCTGAAAATGGAAAGCCAGAGTTGATGTGAGGTTTAACTCTAACGAAACAGAATTTTAGAAAGAACAATGCCAATTAAGTTATTGCATTGAATAATATAATATATATAGGGCTGCATGGCTGAGTATAATAGATAGATAGCTACTATAGTGATCGGATACTATATATGATAGAATCACTATATACTGAGCGAGTTTTCATGCAGTGTTACTGAATTCATATTAATTTTTTGTTTCGATTCAAATGATTTGATTTTTCCCCCGTTGAGGGGAAGAGGGCCGTACTCGGATGTAGTGCAATACCGAGACAACCCGTGGCCAGGGCGAAGCAAGCTTCAATCCCAGGGCCGAAGGCCAAAAATCAGTTTAATATATGAGTTAGGCATTGCCTAACATATCAGATATTAAGCTGATAAGAACAGATTCCTTATTCAAAAATGACTAAAATGATGGGACAGTTTACTTAACCTAATGCTATTGGTTTGAGGTGATCAGTCACACTTATAATGTTTACTAAATATAATACTAAGGGCTGGAAGACAACAATATAACCTAACATGTTTACTGAAAATTTGGATCCATGCAATTTGAAATGTCAAACAAGAGTGGGGCTCTCTCAAGTTCGAGTTCCTAGTGAATCAAGTGCCCGAGTGGCTTACGTGTGTGTGTATATAAAGGGGGGACTTAGAAACAAAAACAACTATAAGAGCAGTGTCTGAATGAAAATAATAAAAGTTATGTGTGCCTAGTGCACTGCATAAAAGACCTAGTTGGCGGATCACTCGGATGCATTTTGGTCCCAACCAAAGTGAACGCGAAAAATGTCACATGAACCTTGGATGACGTCCGAACAGCAGAGTTTTCTGAATAGCGATCGGTAGCTTCGGGTCATACCAAGGCGTTGAAGGACTTGTTCATTTGGTGGATGCCAGGAGCCCAAGGCACCAATGACGAATGGCAGGATGTGGCAGTCTTTCCCTTGCTGGGTAAAATGATCTTTCAGGATTTCATATTTGTTGATCTTTGCAGCCGCGGCTTCGTCCAGCGCAGTGGCACCATTTATCGAAGGACAAGTGACGTCAATTATAAGTACTTGGTTGTCTTCTTCGATGACTATATCTGGTCGTAGGCGAGAGTTACTGTTGGCAATGGCTCGATCGGTGGTGACTTCCCCAAAACGGATGGCATTGGATAAGCGTTCAACGATTTTGTCATGGCGGGAACGGATGGAAACCATTTCAGGTCGGCAGTGACAGAGGATGTGAGGGAGGGTTTCAACATCTGCGCAATGGCGACAAGTGGGTGACGATCCGGACCATCGAGCTTTCACAGCATTGGTGGGTAGCAGGTTGAGGCGGGCTTTGTGTATAAAGCGCCAGTCTTTAAATCTCATGTTGAGGCCAGTGTGAGACCATGTCGATCCGTTGGCATACTGGTCGGTGGCGAGCGATTGGGCGACTTTCCCTTGATCACGGAGATTCATAAGCGTATTGGCAGCCCTCTGTTGGATCAGCCGGTGAAGGAATTGGGATATCGACTTGGAACGAATTTTGGCTGAGTCATCTGCGGTGATCGATGCTGGTTCTGTGTCGGAGAAGTGGAAGGCGATCTTCATACGACGACAGGCATTTCGACAGCGGGTCCATAGGGAGCTGGCAGTGTAATTTATGTTGGCACATCTGTTGGTGTGGAACCAGAAAGATACTCGGATATTAACGCTGGTGTGGCATTTGAGGAGGTGGCTCTGCTGGTGATGCTGCGGAGCTCGTTCTGGGCGATGGACGAGACCGTGGGATCATCCGAGGAAAGGATTCTGATTGCCTGAACAATGGCTTGTACGTCATCTTCCTTCGTGGGATCTTGAAACGCTAGTCCACCAGCGTGCTTTGATGCGAAGAAGTAGGACTGTGATGAGCGCTTTGGGAGGTCACATATTTCGTAAGGACGAGATGAGGACAACTCGGAGAGGTTCAAGCGACTGTTTTGCAGGGTTTCCAGCACGGAGAGCGTAGGTCAGGCAGGGCTCGACAAAGGAGCGGATGGCGTCCAGTTTCTGCCACGGAGCAAGCATGGGGATTTGGTGATGGCAGTGATATCGTCAATTACTCGTGGTATAATGGATGGGAGATCATCAATCCGGTGGATTATGCCGATGGGGACACCGAGGTAGCGATAGCTTTCTTCGCGTGATAGGGCTGGAATGGGGCCATCTTGTACGATGAAGGTGTTGGTTGCAATACGTTGGGCTTGACGGCGCTCGTTGATGAATGAAAGGGACGCACATTTGTTAGGACGGAACTCTAGGCCCAGGGTTGTGGCACTGGAGGAAGCAACATCGAGAAGCTTTTGCAGCGTAGGTTTGTTTCGGGCAACGATAACCAAGTCGTCGGCATATGCGAGGACGGATATATGGGTGCTGAAGTGGGACACTGTACCGTTCGGTAAAGAGGAGGCCTTGTTCTTAATGGCACGGAGGACTAGTTCAAGGCACAGGTTGAAAAGGATCGCGGACATTGGACAGCCTTGTTTTACACCAGCATTGAGTGGAATAGGGTCAGTATCACCTTGATGTGTGCGGACGGTGGTGGTGGCATTTGTGTAAGAGTTCATCACGAGGTCGACGAATGATTGTGGGATGCCGAGGTGTAGGAGGGTGGTCTGGATGGTTGTGTGGGGGACACTGCCGAAGGCATTTCTGAGGTCAAGCCAGGCGGTAAACAGGGATCTCTTGTTACGGCGAGCATCGCCCATCAGGGACTGCAGGATGTAAGTGTGTTCATAGCACCCTTCGGAGGGACGGGCACTCTTTTGTTCTTGGGAAAGGATGCCTTTCTGTATGGCCCAGGTGGATAGTCGACGACCAAGGACGGAGGTGAATAGTTTGTAGATGCATGACATCAGAGCTATGGGTCGGAAGTTTGCGACATCGTTGGGGTCATCTTTCTTATGAATCAGAACCGTTACTGCTTCTTTCCATGGTTGTGGGACATCCTTTTGCTCGAGACAGCGATTAAAGATCAGGGTAAGGATCTTCGCCTGAGGGTCTATTCTTTTCAAATGTCGATATTCGACTCGATCAGAGCCCGGGGAGGTGTTGGCGGCGGATCGAAGTTTCTGCGAGATTTCTTGTTGGGTCATCTCGTCGTATAGAGCTTCGTTGTCGGAGTCGGTGATTGGGAAAGTCTCTTTCAGGGCGGCGGAGAGGGCATCTCGGTTGCAATCTTTGGCCGAGAACACATCTGTGAAGAAGGACTGGGCTTCATCCCGTGAGCCGTGTAGGTCACATTGTTGGTGGATAGGATCTTTCGGGCTGCGCGTTTCTTCGAGTGGCGGTAGAGGCCTTGGATCTTACGGGCTTCGGTAGGGTTGAAGTTTGCGATTCGTCTGCCGTAAGGGGGGCGACGGGTCTTGTGCTTGTGGAGGATTAGTTGCTCGTGCTGGCCGGTTGCGGGAGTTAATTTCGGAAGCTAGTGTGCGACATGAGTCAGCAAACAGTTCACATTGTTCAGAGAAGTCATCCATGAAAGTGCTGCAGCGAAGGTGGTGGACCAATGGTCATGAAAGTTTTGGATATCCTCGGTGTTCTGAACGTGGTTTTCCATATTGATTTCATCCGGTGAGGTCGGGGGTATTACATCATTAGTTGAGGTTGTTGGTACGAGGGACGTGGGGGAAGGTTGTTGCGGAGGTGAGGGTTGTGATGGGGTGAAAAGGGTTGGTGATGGATTATTAGGGGACATGGGGTTGTCGGTTGATGGTATCGGGGAGTCGCTGAGGGGTTCAGGGATAGGGAGGCTGTTGGGTCTGGGAGGGGTTTGGGAAGAAAGGTCATCTGAGTCAACATCCTGTAGGGTAGCTCGTAAGCGATCGAGGTTGGTGTTGATATTCTGGAGGGTGTCGGAGGGAAGGTGGTTCGTGGTGGGGGTAGGAGGCGGTGAGGGCGAAGGAGATGGCATTGAACTTTTCGAGGGCTTTCGCCGATAGTGTCGAATCAGTTGTCTCACTTCTCTCTCGGGATGGGGACATATTGTGGAGCGACTGTTAACTGGGATGGGGGGAGGGAATTCTGGTGAGGGAGGTCTTGGGGATGAGGTCGAGGATGTAGGAGTGGGTTCAGCACTTGTTGAGGGAGATGTATTTCGAGGAGATTGTGGGGGAGCGTTGTTTTCCAATATCTGCCGGATGAGTTTCCTTGTTGATGCTGGGGTAGCCTTGGCCGGTTGATTTGGGTGGTCATGCGTGTTGATGAAACTGGCTACGACTTTGGCTACTTCGGGAGTTTTAGCTGGCGGCGGTGTTTTGAGGGTTCGTTGGGGGGAACCATCAGGCGTTGAGGAAGCATCGAAGTGTTTTCGAGAGTAGTGCGCCGATCCAGCACGGAAAGTGTTGAATGTTTGTTGACACACTGAACATGTGGTAGGTGTCTCGGGATTTTGTACCTGGTGTACGCGTCGTGCATGTGTTTTGAAGGTCGAAGAATCGCGTTGGGTTTTGTGGCAAATAGGACAGGGAAGGCCGGTGATCGGAAACGGCACAACACACTCTAGTTTCGCCGTTCGCGGGCAAGCCATCTTGCCAGGAAGCTGGCGGCCAAGAGGAGAGCCCAACAACTCCTCAGGACCTTCAGTGGTCCTGGTTCAACTCGCAGAGTCTATGAACTGAGCAAGAGGTTCCCCAGAGTTGAAGATCCTCAAGCCCAGAACATATCCTCTTTGAGAGGAAGGCCAGGAAGCCACTTACCAGCACGCAGGTCTTCTTCTTGCTGCCAAAAACTTGCTTGAAACTTGCTTGGAATTGTTCTTCGGTCGACGATTAAGCTGATAAGAACAGATACTACACTTGATCTTAGCCAAAAGGCCGAGAAGCGATAACCCGTTTTCGGCTCGCCACCAAGACTTTATTGGGCATCGGCGAGCCCGCTCGACCCGGTGGCGGGTGTGCGATCGAGTGAGCAGAATTGGCCGGCACGAGGAAGCCAACAAGCAATGTCGCTGCTGCTCGTTATTTGGTGAACGGGTTCGATGCGAGGCCGGCGGGCCGCCTACGCTTGCCGGGACGTCCTCGCGGTCACGCTTTGCTGCTGCCGCCGAGCCATTACTGTCGACAGTTAGGGTTAGGGTTTTAGGGGAGCTGTTTTTTGCGGCGCTTTTCGGTCATTTGCTTTCACAACGGTTTTGCGGATAGATAGTTGGTTATTTATTTATCCGTACGTCGATGTTGTTTGATGTATAGTGTGACGAACCACTCGACGCTGCTGCGGTAGCGTTGGTAGTACATGTATATATGGTAATGGCATGCGATCCGTCGATCGGTAGCGAGAGCTGATCAATAGGTGTCAAATTTCAAACGATTTTCCGAGATTCAGTTACACTCGATGATTACTTGTGACTGTTAACAACAACCCAGCGGCGGCGGCAGCGTTGTTAAGAAATCAAGTTGTTATTAGCTTTCGCACGCAGCACGCTTCTGAATAGTTTTAGATTTGTTTTTCGATTTTTTTGTTTGAATCATGAATCAGATGTGGTTGAAGGGAAGGGAGAAGGGGACGAGCGCGAACGCAGGTCCCCACTACCAGAAATTATATGCTCGAGTTACCCACATTAGGGGTAATCGCAGGAGTCAACCCACTCGAAGTGCAATGAAAGGGCCTCATCCTGAGAGGACCTTCTAGTTGATCAAGGTGCCTCTCGCGTCAGGTAAGTATGCTTTTGTGGCAGCGCCGTTGACTTATAATTGTGGCGACGAAGCGTTTCGATCGCAGTCGTTAGCGTTACTACCACTAGTGAATAATATTCATACAAGTACGTACGTATGTACGCCGTTTCGGTTACCTGAATGCGGTGGCTGTTCGTAACTTGTTTCCTGATCGATTGAGGAGTCCGGCGGCGGCGGCAACGGTTCGTCTGAAATGGAAAGTAGTGGCATGAGTTGATGATGTGAGGTTTAACTATACCGAAACAGAATCAGTTCAGAAAGAACATGCAATAATGTCAATTAAGTTATAGCATTGAATAATAATATATGTAGGGCTGCATGGCTGAATATAATAGATAGATAGCTACTAGAATGATGATACTATTATATATGATACAATCATATACTGAGCGAGCGAGTTTTCAGTGTTATACTGAATTCATATTCATATTTTTGTTTCGATTCAAATGGTGATGATTCTTCCCCTCGCGTTGAGGGGAAGAGGGCCGTACTCGGATGTAGTGCAATACCGAGACAACCCGTGGCCAGGGCGAAGCAAGCTTCAATCCCAAAGCCGAAGGCCAAAAATCAGTTTAATATATGAGTTAGGCATTGCCTAACATATCAGATATTAAGCTAATAAGAACAGAGTGTTTCTTATCAGTTAAAAACTTTAATGTCCAATTGGTCCGTGTGGTCCTAAGTTTTGGAAAAAAGGTCATAACAAAAAATAAAAATAAAAGTGGAAAAGGGATATATAGGCTCATGGTGCGTCCTATTATCCGTGAGCTAGATTCATGTTAGAAAACTGAATTTGGTTGCCAAAAAGGTTCAAACGCACCGTGTATATATGCTCGCAGTCATAGATGTGTGGCCATATATACAAGGGAATTGTAATGGTAGTGAGTTAATCGAGTGGACAAACATACGAAGATTTAGAACTAACATGTGACAAGACGTTACGGAGACTTTACAACATAAGACGATTTAGGGGAGAGCATCATCGCAGCCAAGGTGCTGGCGATAGATGTCTGTGGAGCCCTGGATAATGTCAGTGCAACAAAGTTTTTGGAAAAGGTTCTTGTAGCGACCTGACATGCCAAGAGCAGAGAGGACTTTCTCGTTACGAGGGTGCCAAGAGCCGAGTGCACCAACAGCAAAGCCAAAGATTTTGCAAGAGAGGCCTTGTGCCGTGAAAAACTCGCGAAGGTGCTCGTACTTGAGTTCCTTTCGGTCTATGGCATCGTGAAGGGCTTCGGCTCCATTGTCAAAGGGACAACACACATCAATGATGGTAGCACAAGTGTTGGCAGGGTCGGTGATGACAATATCCGGGCGAACGTTGGAGCCAGAATCAGCGACTGTCTTGTCAGTGGTGACATGACCTGAGCGAACAGCATTGACAAGGCGGGAGACGATTTTGTCGTGACGAGCGGTGATCGCAGGCATGTTCTGGGTACAGTGGCACAGGATATGCGGGAGTGTTTCATCCTCATTGCAATGGCGGCAGGAGGGATTGGTGTTAGACCAACGGCTTTTGACTGAGTTCGTTGGGCAGCAGTTGAGTCGGGCACGATGGATGAAACGCCAATCTTTGAACCGGACATTAAGGCCTGAGAAATGCCAAGAGGAACCATTGCCATATTGGTCGTTCTGAAGGGAGCGAGCAAGTTTGTCTTGATCGGGGAGGTCTCTGAGGATGGTGGCAGCTTTATCACGGGTTATGTTATGGAGAAAACGGCAGGCATCACGTGCTGAGACTGGCTCGGTGTATTCAGGAGTTGTTATGGTGGGAGCGCCGACATTTCGGAGGTTGATTGTGACTTGCCGACGCTTAGTGGTGGTGCGGGTACGAGTCCATAACGAGCCGGTTCGGTACCGTAGGGAGTCAAGGCGCCGGTCTGGAGAGTTTGATAGGTATTTGGACATGAGTTCTGGCGTAGGTTCGCATTGTGAGGCGAAGCGGACTGTTTGTGCCAGTTCGTTGCGGGCAATACCAGCAACGACAGGGTCAGAGGATGCTAAAATCTTGACTGCTTGGACCGTAGTTTGGAGGTCAGCCTCGGTAAAGGGATCTTGGAAGCCAAGGCCACCTGATTGGCGGTTTGCAAAGAAATAGTGGGTCGTGGCACGATCTGGAAGGTGGCAGATTTTCCTGAGGGCAGAGATCAGGGTGGTCCTGTATGCTTGGAGCGACTTATGGGATGGTGAACTGGCTCGGAGGGCATAAGTTAAACATGGCTGGATGAAGGTTCGGATAGCGTCTAACTTCTGCCAGGGGGTCAGCAAGGATTGTTCGATCTTACGAATCTTGTTGGATAGTTCATCAACAAGCGATTGGAGTTGGGAGACGTTCACAATCAGGCCAATAGGGATACCAAGGTAAAGGTAATGATCTTCTGCTTTAAGAGAAGGGATCGAGCGATTCTGGACTTTGAAATCGTTGTGTGCTACTCGTGGCTGATTGCGCGGGGTAATGCTGAGGGAAGCACATTTTTCGGGACGAAAAGTAACAGATAGGGCATCGGCAGCTTCGGATAGCGAATTGAGGAGGTGTTGCAAGTCCGATTTTGTTTTCCCTATTACCACAAGGTCATCGGCGTATGCGAGGATCGAGAGAGGGTAGCCATGGTGTTTGATTGGGCCCCGTGGATTGTTGCTGGCTGTGGCGGACACTTTCCGGAGGATGAGTTCCATCGTTAGATTAAAGAGGATTGCACTTAGGGGACAGCCTTGCTTGACACCTGCTAGGATAGGTATGGATTGTGTTGGTCCTGTCGATGTGAGCACCTCATTTGAAGCACCGGTGTACGCCATTTTGATGAATTGGGTGAGAGCTGGTGGGAAGCCCATGTGCGTAAGGGTCGCGAGGATAGCATCGTGGGGGATACTGCCAAAAGCATTCCGTATGTCAAGCCACGCCAGGCACATGTTTTTTTGTTGGCGTTTGGCATCGTTGACGATTGATTGAAGGAGGAATGTGTGCTCGTAGCAGCCTTCACTGGGTCTCGCGCTCTTTTGTTGTGCTGACAACAAGTTGTGTTGGATGGAAAAGGCAGTGACACGTTTTGCTAAGATTGCCATGAGGATCTTGTAAAGGCACGACATAAGAGCTATAGGGCGGAAGTTGCCGGCATCGTCAGTGGGGCCTTTCTTATGGATCAGGATAGTGGTCGCGGTTTTCCACTGGTTGGGCACATCACACGAGGTAAAACAGAAACGGTACATTCGTGCAAGGATCTCGCATTTCGGATCTATCAGGCGGATGTGGCGGTATTCTAGTCTATCCTTGCCAGGGGCAGAGTTAGAAAGAGACCGGAGCTTCTGTTGAAGTTCCTCTGCTGAGGGTGCATCGAAGAGGGAGTCATCTGTCTCGGTGGTAGGGACGTAAGATTGCAGATGCTCTTTCAGTGCATCCAGGTTACATTCTCGCTGACCAAAGGATGTGGAGAAAAAGTTGAAGGCTTCGTCAGGTGATCCGGTGTAGTTCGGGGAATCGTCGCCCAAGATTTTGCGAGCAGCCCGTTTTTTGGACATACGGTATAGCTGTTGGATCCGTCTAGAAGCAATTGGGTCTGCGGTAGTGGGCCGTCGATTGTCAATTGGAGGGCGTGCTGAGGGCCGGTTAGGTCGACGAGGAGCAGGTTTTGGACGACGGGTGCTGGAAATGGTTTGCGCCAGTGAGCGGGCTTCACGAGCGTAGGTCTCGCAGTGGTTGGAGAAGGACTGCCAGTCAAGGTCTTCATCGAAGATGCCTAGCCATTTCGTTCTGAAAGCGTTCAGGTCAGTGGTGATATCTGCCGTGGGTAGGGTGACTTCGGATGGACCAATTTCAATCGGACTGCCAAGAGCATCCCAATGGTGAACAGGGTGGTTTGCAAGGTTGGGCAGGTGTTGTGGCCGTGGCGGGTTCGCTGGCATCTCGTCATCCGGTGGGAGATCTTGTATTGTGGGTGGTGGTGAGTTTGGAACAGGTGTTGACTTGGGGGGCGATTGAGGGTTGTGGGTAGTGTTGTTTTCTGGGAAAAAATCAACTGCTCGGAGGCGTTTCAAGGGCTGGCAAGGTTGACGGGTGGTTGGTAAGCCAGCATCAGGAGTTGTAATAATGTTGGCCATCAGGGCTGGAATGGCCGGTGATGGTGTGGCTATTGGCCGGCTGATAGGCAGGTCACATAAATGGGGGGAGTTCAGTAGTGGGGTATCGCCGAGGAGGGACAGCTGGTCAGCAGCAGTTGGATTGATAGGTTCGGAAGAAGGTTCAGGTGATGGTTTGCACGCTTCTAAAAACCGGCTGATGATCGATCGGCTATCTTCTTGCGAGGGTGACAGTAGGTTTGGGGTGGAATCAATTTGGGTCATGGGGTGGTCAGAATCCGGGCTGGGTGGGGAAAGGTCAATGCTGAGGGAGGGATGGGAGGAGGTGGAGTCAACAGGGGAAGATGTGTTAACATCGGAAGGTGAGGAGAGGGTCGAGGAAGGGGGGCTTGCGGGACTTCTGGGGCGGTTCACAGGGGGCGATTGGATTGGGGTGAGCGGTTGGTGGTCATGCCGGTGCTTGTCTAAGTGCCCTTGCTTCTCGGCAGCCGATAGGGAGAGATCACATACGGCTCAATGGTAAACCATCTCTAAGGCATACTCGGGGTGCTGACGTTTGAAATGGGTGATAAAGCCACGTTCTGTCATCACATGTTTCGAATGATGCTTGCAGAGAGGGCATTTAAGGTTTTGATGCCGAAGGTGCAGTTCGAATGAAACAGTGATGGGATCCTGGTCCAATGGGAGAACGTGGTTGAAACTCTCGATGTGAATCCGTTGGTTGCGCAGGGATGCGAAAGTGTTGGCGCATGATCCACAGCCCAGCTTGCACTTCTTAGTTGGTTTACTTGCCGAGGGGTTATCTTTAGGATCCATCGATGCCATAGAGCAAAAGGAAACTCAAGGAGAAAGGCTCTTAAAGGTTGGGACAGCTTGTCCGATAAAGATACTTAAAAGGGGATAAACATACACTTCTGGTGAAACCAATGGGCATGAAATGTTGTGTTTTAGTGGCAGAAAATCGAAAAGCTAAATCCAAGCTAGGAGCGACCCCTATTCACAACAAATAGTGTCCCTCTAGAATTTCCTCAAACTCTGCAAGTGCAGAGGAGACCTAGCTTGGCAACTATTTTGCCCGATATTCGTGAATACCGTAGTCGAGGCACGGATGTACTAGTCCGGGCCACAAATACCGCAAATATAGCTTTGTGGGTCGAGGTCACACGTATAGTTGACTGCCACTCGGAGATATTCGAAAAGGCACGGCAAAATAGTTGGTTCCGAACTCTCAAACGCGGCGTGAGCCGGGGAGAAACATACTGCTAAAGAGCCGAAAATCAAAAACAAACAAACCAATTCTGAATAAATTAAGACCTTGAACTCGGAGCGAACCTACCGCAGTAGAAGTAGGTTAACTATATTTAACTCAAACCTTCGGATAAGGGAAACCGAGAACAAGAAATTGTATAGAAAGTATTGTTTGAATAGCCTCGCGGGAAAAAACCTTGCGGATCAAGGGAAAAACACGGCACTAAACGAACCTCACATACAATACAATTTAGCCGAAAAATACTCAAACTCGGATGCGAAATCCGAGGAATTAAAAATTTAGATAAACACAACACGAGGCGAGAAAGCGTTCCTAAAGAAACGACCAAGTGTTATGAGGAGACCAAAAGGCGAACTGAGTGTCTCTAAAAGACCTCTCAGTATACTTGCACAATAATGTTAAGTATCTCTAAAAGACCACTTAACTGTGGCTGCGCCGATGGCTGAGTAGCGTTTTTTAGGCGTTCAAATAAATTGAACCGGACAGTCAACAAACTGTGCCCTAAATTTGCCAGCGATCACTTAAGAACAAATGCGGCTACACTTGATCTTATTTTGAGTTGAACGACGATGGGCTTATCGACTCCGACGGTGCAATGGAGCCTGGACCCGTGCAATCGCCGCACCCAAGGGGGCCACTATTTAGTGACGCAGATCGTCAGAGGGTATGATCCTCTCCCCTGTGCCATGATGCAACACGTGAATGGTACGATGAATGACAGTGATGATGGTGAATTACACGATCAACGCGAGCAACCCAACCGAAAGACACCGGTGCAGCTCGTCCTCAAACGAACTACACTCTAAAAATTCACCTAAAAGGTGGTCACCTGTGCAGCCCAATCAAACCAAAGACCGATCGAACCACAGGCCAAAATTCACAGTAGAAATCTCAGCTGACAAAAGTCAGAAGAGATGCGCAATTAACATATTACAACACATCCCCGAAGATGACGGCAGTACTTTCCCATAAGGCGACCGCCGCATCCACGAAGAACAAAAAAGGACAAAGGACACGATACATCTACAAGACAACGGCAGTACTTTCCCATAAGGCGACCGCCGCGCTTGCAGAGAACGACAAAAAAGGACAAAAGGAGGAAGTAATTATTTTAAAAAGTCACTGAATTCAATGGAATCTCCATGCGTAATGATGCCGAAGACATTACCAGCAAGCCATTGATCGGAAAAAAGCTGTTGTAAACAGTGCCGCCTTTGGATCTTTAAATTAAAACGGAGTGTGGATTTGGTCTTATCTCGTGAGTTCACAAAGTCCGGTTTTATTCGATCAAATCAAAAGGAGTTCCTAGCTACCCATATTTGGTGGCGAATAATTCCCAAAAGACAAGAAAAGACTAGTGGGATATGGGTGGAGGTAGTATAGCCAAGGAGGATTTCACTTGGAGATGGTAGTGGACAGAGTGGATTGTATTGCCTGATGATAGAGTGATACCATCTTAATAACTGGAGAGCAAACGGGCAGGCAGTAAAGAGATGAATCAACGTCTCTTCTTTACCACAATGACATCTGGAATTGACGTTCATACCAAAACGGTTTTTGACGAATTGACGTTCATACCAAAACGATTTTCCGAGATCGTACGGCCAGGAATACCGCACGTCTGATCGGAACCGACGATGGATCCCATAACACGCAACAGCCTACCACTCAAAGCTCTCGTGGCGATCTTATAGTCCACATTGAGGAGGCTGATGGGACGATAGTTTTTGGTTTCCAGATGATCACCTTTTTTATATAACACTATGATGAGGCCACGCTTCTGAGAGGCAGATAGGCAGCCCTCATCATAGGCGATGTTCAAAACACAGACAAGATCAGCTCCGAGGTCATCCCAAAAGTGGAGGAAAAACTCCATGGGGAAGCCATCCGAACCCGGCGTCTTGCCACGTGCCATTCCAGAGAGAGCCCGAAAGCACTCCTGGCTGGATAATTTTCCCTCGCAAGATTCCATGTCCGCCTTGCTGAGGGAGCGTTTAAGGTTACCCAACATTTGCTCCTGTGCGGTGGCATCACACACCTCGGTGGTAAAGAGCCGCTCGTAGTACCGCTGCCACGTACCCAAGATGTCAAAAGGGTCGTGATGGATAATGCCTGAGTCGGGTCACGTATCTTGGTGATAGATTGTTTAGCCCTATGCTTCTTCTCCAAACTGAGAAAGAAGCTGGACGACGTCTCCCCCTCCTCGGCCCAGCGGACACGAGAGCGAACTTGAGAGGCCTTTGCCTCCCTAAGGTGAATGCCACGCAGGTGTTCTTGCAGCGAGCAAAGTTGGGCAAAAGCGGAAGAATCACCCGCATCAAAGAGAGACTGTAGATCTTTAATTTGTCTCTCTAAAGTCTTCTTCTCCTTCGACTGACCCGCAGCCTTGGAGCGAGCAAAAGAACGAGTGATCTCCCGCAGATAAAACTTTCCCTGATCCCACCAATCACGGGAAGAACTATATATAGAGAGATCTTCCTGGCCTTGCCAGAAAGACCAAAGGGATCATACTAGCTTGTCATACTCTGGATCCTCTAACAGGGAAGTATTAAATTTCCAAACCCCTGGACCAAGAACAAAAAAGTCACCGATGTTAAAATTGACTAGTAGATAACGGTGGTCAGAAAAGAAAGAGGGGTGATATTCGCAGCTAACAATAGACTGCTCGAAAATAGTGGGAGCCCACACCATGTCGATACGAGAGGAAAACTCTCCCGAGGCATGGTCCCAAGAAAAGGTGATGTCCGAGGGATGAAGAGTCCGCCAAACAGGGTATGTTTGTGTGGCAGACAGTAGAGATTGTAAGGCTGTAACACTCTCCTGCCTCAGCGAGTTCTTGGATGTTCCAGTGTAGGACCTACGTGGCCTGCGATCTAAATTAGGATCAAGCACGGCGTTAAAATCGCCACCAATGTACGTTGGTGACGAGAGGTCCATCAGGTCGGCAACCGAAGCAAAGAAAGTGTTACGCGCCGGGTTTGTGTTCGGCGCATATAGTGAGACGAAACGTATCTTATTATCGCCCAGCATAATTTCTGCCTGAACGAAACGACCCTGGTCATCCCTACAGACTTCACAAATAGAGAATTTTTTATTCACTATAACAGCAACCCCACAACGTTTCGTTGAAAAACAAGATGAGGCTACTGAGAAATTTGTATTGCGGAACCAGCTCTTAATGACAGCATGAGAGGCGGCATGAGTTTCCTGCAAACATACCACATCAACTCTCATGCATTTCAACCAGTCAATAAAAGCGGTCCGCTTCAAATGGTCATTAAGACCGTTAATGTTCAGGCTCAGCAGCCTGTACATTAAGTGTTAAGGATAAAACACCAGACTCCTGCGGAGAAGCAGGAAGTGCTGGGAAAGCAGAGGGAGGAGAAACGAACTCCACCTCAGAAAAATAATGGTCGCTGGCCTCCTGATGGAAAAGGAGGTTCAACGACGACTCCTCTGCAGAGGAGGAGAGGGAACGAATTGAGCCTGGATGGAAAGAAGGCGTCAATAAAGGCCCTTCGGAACAAACACTCCGAGGACCTGAAACTATAAAAGGTGACTCGACCTGCGAGTCTAGGCCACACAATGATGGCACGGAGGAAGATGCTGATGATGTCCCGGCAGCAGGAGCGGAAGAACGAGCTAAAGCTCCCTCCATTGATTTCGGAGTATTCTCCTCAACCGGAAAACGGTAATCAATGGGGACGATAGCTGTTTCAGCGTCAGTCACACGAGGTGCAGCTGGAGGAGATGAAAACTCTCCCTCTGACTCCTGCGAAGACGACTCCGAGAGAACCGGCCGAGGTGTTGAGACGACCGGTGTTTTTTCCGGAGAAGGCAAAACCTCCAACTCCGCCGATTTAACAGTCGGAGAATCAACCAATACGGTGTCAACTACCGACTGTCCAAGGACATCCAAATCATTAAGGTCCTCCAAACGGTCTTGGAGGACCTGAAAACGGTTAGCTGTTGGAATAGCTGGGATGTCCAAAGT